TATATATATATATATATTCTTAGTATTAAGTCATTTCAAGTTGATGGTGGGTTGTCACATTATAGTGTCATGTGTTGTGTGAAGCTAATTAAATTATAGACATATGAAGTATGGGTTATCCCTTCATCTAATTTACATATTTTTGATTTTGTATTTCCTTTGATATGGAGACTGATGTATCTTTTACTGTCTTTCTTCGTAATTTTAATTGATTTTTGTTTGAGTGCTTTATTCGTTCTTTTACCTTAAATATATTATTTCTCAATCATTAGAGTTAACATATTAGAGTTTCCCTGATGAGATTGATCCTCAATGCAACTTTAATCTTTTAGTGATAAAAAGTATATTTGTTTTCCTAATTTACCTCTTAAAAGGGCTGTCTTCTTTCACATTTTCCTTCTCTTCAAACAATGGTATTATGTATGCAGTAATTGTAGAAACATTTGGAGAATTAATCGTTTGCAAAGCATTTTCCAACGACTTTAGCTTCTATTACACAGAAAAAATAAATTGGGTTGGATTATACATTATCAATCCAATCAAAATGTATAACTAATTTTATTGTGAAAGTATATTAATTTTATTGTGTTGTTTTACCGATGAAGGCACAAAATGAGTGGCTAAACCACATGCTACTATTTCTGCTCCATCCAGATGTGCTCCGGTCAACCCTACGTATTCCCCTGCATATAATTGAGCAATGTACAAGGGTAACATTGAAAATTAATTAATATCAATGCACAAAATAATATATTAAAAAAATAAGCTGAACTCAGCATAGCATGCCCTAAAACTTTATCTCACTCTATAAAAAAAATCAACCCTACAACTTGTTATTTCTGCGTTAAGCTAATAGTGCATCTCATATAACAATAATTTTTATATAATTAAAATGTATAATATATTATATACTTTTTAGCGTTAGGTTTTTTTTTATTTTTATTTTTTTTATTTTTTTTTAACATTCTTATACTTAAATAAAGCGAGATTTCATTCTGTGATGAACGTGAAGACGATCAACGACGCTGAATATTAATGGAGTGGAAAAAAATTTGTTTTTCTTTTTACTATTAATGATATATATATATATATATATAATATTTAATCATATAACTATTTAGGAAAAAGGAAAAGAAATACATTACTTTGTGAATTTTAATAATTAGAATATCATGTATTTGCTTTAATAAAATATTAAAATATATATATATATATTAAATCTAGGTGATAATTTTAAATGAGTAAAAGAATTTGGACCGTATATATAATTAAAGATCAAGATTGTTACATTTTATCCTCTAAAGTGCATGTTACCCTTTAGAGGAGCCTTTTCCATTGAGCAAAGGGGTATTTAGAGATATATTGAAGACTATAACATCCTATTTTTATTAATAAATAATTAATTAATTAGAATAATCAGAAGAAAAAAAAACTATTTTACAAATAAAATAAAAGGGGGAGAGGAGAATTAGAGGTCATTTTTGCATGTATTTTGAAACCCTAAAAACTCGTAGGAGGAGAATTAGAAGAGATCATGAGAGAAAGCATTGGTTGACAATAGGAGCTAGCAAAGGGACATTATTTCTCAAGACTCGTCACTTTAGGTAGGGGGAGTGAGATTATTGATTCCTTAAGCATATACAAGGTATAAGGGTAGAGAGACAATTCCTAAGCATCTTAGGTTATCTATTTGAGTGGAATCTCTTGAGTATGAATTCAATTGAAACTATATATGTTGTTGTATGCTATGATTCTTATTTGTTAAATTGATTAAATTGATATTTGAGATTATGCATTCTGGGGTCATGATTATTAAGTGTGAATTTTGAGATTTGGGGTTGTATGCATAATTTGGGGATTTAGTGTGATTTATTTTAATTAAAAAAATTATTAGAGTATGATGTTTAATTTTATAATGATGATATGAGTATTGGATAATGTTAAGAATTGATGTAAAATAGAGAACCATGTGCGAAGCAGTCGAGCCTAATGCGATTTCATGGCTATGGACTAACAAGCATGACTGTGCTTAAATAAAACACACCCGTGTAGGAGGTACCATAGACGTACTGAAGGAAACATGCTCGTTCATTGCTAATATTGAGGGACCACGACCATGCTTAATTAGGCACACTTGTGCATATTGAATTGTAGTGAAGCATCCTATGTTTATTTTATGCATGCTTGTGCATCCTTTTAAAATCCTAATTAGTCTTTTATGTATTAATAAAAATTGTAGCCTTAGATGTTAGCTTTTCCAATGGTATTGGAATCATCCAAAAAAGAGGTCTAGAACTCAAGTTATGATTCAATTGATGAACGAATGTCATCAAGCTGTTAGAATTAGACTAAAATACTCCATTTTGTAATTTTTAAAAATAATAGGAGGTAAATCAACTCTTAAAGTCAATATAGGAGCAATAGATAATAATTATCTTATATTTTTAATAAAATTAAGACCAACTTGATAGTATAGATACATCTCTAGATAATTTGTATAAACCACACAACTTCATAGGAGGTTAAGATATGAAGATAGAGTTTGTGAGCTGTTTTATTTCTTAAGTGTTTAATCTTGAGACTTTGTGCCTAGATGTGATATGAAACATGGATGTTGAATTGAGAAGGGTGTGTGTAGTGTTTGAGACACCGATGAATCATGTTATAATGTATAACATTAGGGTGTGTGATGATGTTATGATGATGATGCATAGTGATATGATGCATGAAATGAATGATGATGTGATATAATGTTGAGTTGGGATGAAGCTATTGTGATGATGCATATTGTGGAAGTATTGATGATGAGATGAATAAGTTCAATACTAAG